CCGCTCTCGGCCTTGTGCTGGGCCTCGATGGCTGAGAGGTCGAAGGAGCGGCTGGTCTGCTTCATGGACGCGCCGCCCGCGGCCCCGCTGGCGCCGGTCGCGTCGTCCAGGCCGCCCTCGCCCTTGGGGCCTGGTGCGTGAGTGTGCGCATGTATTTGTGTGTGTGAGTGCGTACCTTTTAGTGTGTGTGTGTGTGTGTGTGTGTGTGTGTGTGTGTGTGTGTGTGTGTGTGTGAGTGTGCGTAGACGCGCGCGTGTGGATATGCTGAGCGCAAGGGCGTCGGCGGTGCGAGCGAGCAGGCGATGAGGTCAAGGCACCAGCGCGTGCATTTGCAATCGGGGGGCTGCGCCGAAGGCATCTGCGGCCGCAGTGTGGTGCGGCGGGCCGCCGCGCGCCGCTTGCGCGCGCGGGGCCTGCAGCGGCTGCGCACCGCCCTGCAGCGAGACGGGCCCCAGCTGCCCGTCCTTCCACTCGTACAGCGCCATGCCCACTGGGCCCTCCAGCAGCGGGACCACCTGCGCGCACGACGCGGCGCAACGCGTGCCGGCCCGTGGGTGCAGGATTGGAACTCGGCAAATCGGGGGCGTCGCAGGGCCCGCCCAAGTGGTCGCACAGAGCTCTCCCCTGCTGCTCGTGTTGCGCGGCGTGCGCGCCCGAGGCCACCCCTGGACGGGCTACGAGGCCGCCGGCACCGCACGGGGGTGCCCATGCGCGCTGCACCAAGGCCGCCCGCCCAGCCGTCCGCCCAGCCGCCCGCCGCGCCGCAGGCGGCGGGGCCCGTGCAGGGGCTGCCCTCTCGCGGCAGCGGGCAGCACTTTTGGTGGGGTGGGGGGAGAGGTCGGGGGGGAGGGGCGCCCACCTGCTCCAGGAACTGTGAGACCTCGGGCGTGGTGTTGTGGCGCCCCAGGGCCACGTTGCTCTCGTACCGCTCCCAAAAGTGGAAGACGTTCTCCTGCGGACCAGGGGCGGCGCGCGGGGCAGGGGCGAGGTGCGCAGTGCAGTGCAACTGAGGCGTCGGGCGCGCGGCGCGTAGTGCGGCGGCCGCGGCGCGGCGAGCGGGCAAGGGCCCGCGCCGCTTGCGGTGGCATTGGTTGGGGCTGATTAGGGCGGCCGCCCTCCGGCGGCGAGCGCCTTGGTTGAATCCGCACGTACGGGCGCGGCAGATCTCAACCCTTGTGAAGGCGCCCGCCCCAAGGGCCGCGCTGTGGCCGTGTGCCCCCGCGGCGCGGCGCCTCCGCCCCGCTCTGCACCCCCGCCCCCTCACCTCCCACCGATCCTTGGCGCATTCAAAGGCCTTCACGCCGCTGGTAGGGTCGCCCATTCGCGCCTCGCTGAACGCGGTCACGTCGGCGCACATCTTGTGCACTTTGTCGATCATATCCGGCTGCGCCACCAGCGTCTTGCTGCAGCAGATCTCGCGGCGCGACTTGGCCTTGATGGCCGCAGACACCGTGAGGAGGCGGCGGCCCGCCACGGCCGCGTGGGCGGCGGGGGCGCGCGCCAGCGGAAAGCTGCCGCCGCGGCGCCCCCGGAGCGGGGCGCCTTGCCGCTGCTGCTGCTGCTGCTGCTGGAGGCCCAGGGGTGCCATGAGACCTTGTGCTATAGAGGCCCGCTGTGTTGCAGGGCTGCCGCCCAGAGGCGTGTCGAACGACTTCGGAAAAAAGACAATCCGAAAGCGCACTCGGTGACAGAAAGCAGAGCGGGAGCTCAGAGCGATGGAAACACAGAGCAATGTTGAGATCTTGGCTGTGTATATAGCGGGCGCGCATATACGTGTGCCGGCAGCTGAAACGACCTGACTAGTCACCGATTTTGTTGCTGCTGCACCGGCAGCCAAGTCCCTGGTGTCTGGCCCGCGCTCGCTCTTCCAGGCGGCTCGGTTGATAACCCATTCCGTAACTAGCCTGTCAGCAGCCATGAACCTGACCCGTGCGAGCGGTGCCATTCAGGTCTGGTTTGTGTTGAGCGCGGCACCCGGTCCCCGAACGCGCATTGCTGGCTCGAGCAATGCAGAATGAATACTTACAATACACATGAACGCGCAGGGCGCCGGAGCGAGGGTGCAAAGATGCACGCCCATCGCCACAAGGTAGGCTCCGGAGGCCACACACTTGCTGCATGCTGTCGGCGAGGGCCCCCACTGACCCCGTTCAATGCGCCTTTCTATACAGGGCATCTAGGAAGAGGACTCAGGCGTTCAAAGGCGCGCGCAAGCTCAACGTGCAGGCTGCCGCGGCCGAGACCAGCAGCGATCCCGCTCCGGCCCCGAAGCAGCAGCGTCAGGGTGGCCGCGCCCAGAGGGTCGTGACCGTTCCGATTGCCGGTCTCAAGCCTGGTGATGAGCTCCAGGGCACCGTGGTGCGTGGCTGTGAAAACGCGCGGCAGGCGTGCCGCGCGCCCTGCTGCCGCGCACGCTGCGCTGCGCCGCACGCCTCGCCCTGCAAGCCCATTGCCCAGCCGCCGCCTGCTAATGGCATTGTTGCAATGCAACCTATCAACTGCAGCGGTCGGTGGAGGCGTATGGCGCGTTTGTCGACGTCGGCTCCGAGTCTGATGGCCTGGTGCACGTGTCCCAGCTGTCGGTGAGCGGCCAGCCAGAGCTGGGCCAGGTCGCAGGCGCAGCGCCCAATGTGCGGCGCGCCTCACAAGATATGGCCTGCTGCAGCGCTGAGACGGCAACTAGGCAGCGCGGCTGTGGTGGCGGGGCCGCCCGGGCAGCGGTCAAAGCGGCAGGGGGGGCGGGGGACCGCAGGGGTGTGGCTGTGGGCGGCGGTTGCGCCGTCACATGGCAAGTGGCTGGGCAAGAGCAGCAGCACTCCACCGTTGAAATGGAGATAGGAGGATGTTTACGCGGAGAATTGGGACCAGCAGCATGTCGAGAAGCCCCCATCCCCGGCAGTCTGCAGCGGGTGTCGGGAAACCAACACAACCGGTGCAGCCCCCTACTGCTGTCGCCACACCAGTGTCATCGGGCCCCTTGCCGCCCCAGCCCCCCCCCCCACACACTTACACCCACATGCACACATTTACACACACACACACACCTATGACACCTGACACACCCACCATAGGACGGCTACGTCAAGAACGTGGCCGACGTGGTCAAGGTCGGTGCCTCGGTCAAGGTCAAGGTGTTGACCGTCGACCCCGCGCAGCGCCGCCTCGCCCTTACGATGAAGGGCCTGGGCAACGCCCCCGCCGCGCGCGCCGCGCCCTCCGCGGACGCCTTTGACGCTGGTGAGCCCGCCGCGGCGGCGGCGCTGGGTCCGGCTGGCGCACGCGTGCGCGCGCGCGCGGCGCCCGTTTCTTGGGCGCCCCCTGGGCACAGCTGGTGGCGGAGGTCGCAGCCGCGACGCCGTTCCGCCCGCCACCCCCGCCAATCGGCACCCCCGCTCCCGCCCTCATCAACACACCCCGGCCGCGTCCCCTTTTGATGGCGTCGACAGCATCCCAACCGAATCCCAACCGCCGCCCCGCCCCCCAGAGGACGCCGCCGACGCCGAGGAAGCCGAGGAGGCGTTTGCGCTGGAGGCCGGCGACGTGGCGCTGGACGGCGTGGTGTACCGCGTCGACGAGGACGATTACGAGGCGGAGGGCTACGAGGAGGGCGACGAGTACGAGGCTGAGGCCGAGGGGGAGCTGGCGCTGATCGCGGCGCTGGAGAACAGCATCGTGGAGGTGCGTGTGTTCGTGTGTGTTCATGCGGTTTGTGTGTGTGTGTGTGTGTGTGCGTGTTTTGGCTTTGGGCGCGTTTGTGTGTGGGGATGTTTGTTTGTGATGGGTCCACAGGTGTCCTTGTGTCTTGTCCGTAGGCGGGGAAGGGGCACAGTGGGCAGGGGCCGAGGCAGAAGGGGAGGTCGAGGGGGTGTGGCAGGGGGCGGTTTGAGAGCGCGCATGCTCGCGCTCGACTCGCCAGCCGCCCCCAAACACCACCCCTGGGCCCCAAAACTACACCGCCGACAGGGCAAGGTGACCGGCGTGGAGGACTTTGGCGTGATCGTCGAGTGGACCTCCGCCGACGGCGCCAAGCGCAGCGGCCTGCTGCACGTCAGCGAGATGCGCGCCCCCGCCGCCGCGGCCGAGGCCGAGCTCGGGGCCGACGCCGCCGCCGCTGACGAGGAGGCCGAGGAGGGCGAGGACGCGGGCGGCCTGCTGGCTGACGAGGGGGAGTACAGCGCTGAGCAGTACGTTGACGTGGGCGGCATCGACAAGCCGTCCCGCTACTACAACGTGAGTGCCTCGGGGGAAGGGGGG